CCCCAGCTCCTCCAGGTATCTCCAGCCCCAACCAACATGGGAGTCCTTGGGGTGTCCAGCAGGTCCCCAGCTCCTCCAAACACCACAAGCCCCAATTCATGTGGGGGTCTGGGGTCATCCCTGTCCCCTTTAGGTACCCCAACCCCCCCCAAAACTACAGCAGGGGGTCCTTGGGGTCTCCAGCCCTCCAAGTACCCCTAGTCCTAAACCATGTTGAGGTCCTTGGGGTCGTGTCCTCAGCCCCTCCAAGCACTCCCAGCCATGTAGGACATCCATGGGGCACCTCAACCCAGGGCAAGCAGAAGATGCCAACGTGATGTCCTGGGGGTGCCCAGCAGTGGGGAGGGGGTGCAGAGAAGGTCAGACCCCCCCAGCCAGTGCTCACTGGGGTAGGATCTGGTAGAGCAGAGCCTCAGCTTTGCGTTTCTCCTCCAGGTAGGCTTGGGTCCTCTCCTCCACCAGCTCCTCCAGGTTGTTGGCGTACTGCTCCATGCGTGACAGCAGGTTGTCCAGGATGTTGCTGCTGCTCTCCCTGTGGACAAAGGGGTGAGCACCCACCTTGGGACCCTTTTTGGGGGGTCACCCATCACCCATAGGACTTGGGGAGTTGGAGATACCTGTTGAATTTGCGGAGTTGGACCTTGATCTGGTTGAAGTCGGGGCGCTCCAGGATGTCCTCAGCCCAGCAGTGTTGCATCAGTTGGCCCAGCTCCTCCATGTGGCACCCCACGTTGGCTGAGGGGCGGAAACTGGGGCGTTCCCCACTCTTCACCCGCTCGATGATCTCTGTGGGTTCACACACCCATCAGAAGATCCAACCACCCATCAGCTGGTCCAAGCACCCATCAGCTGGTCCAAGAAGCCATCACAGCAGGTCTAAAAACTCATCAGTGGGGCTAAGCACCAATTTTAGCAGGTCACAGCACCCACCAGCAAGGCCAGCCACTCATCAGCTGGTCCAAAACCCCATCAGCAGGTCAAGTCACCCATCAGCTGGTCCAAGAACCCATCACAGCAGGTCCAAGAACCCATCACTGGGGCTAAGCACCCATCACAGCAGGTCTAAGCACCCATTAGTGGGTCAAATCACCCATCAGCTGGTCCAAGAACCCATCACAGCAGGTCCAAGAACCCATCACTGGGGCTAAGCACCCATCACAGCAAGTCCAAGAACCCATCACTGGGGCTAAGCACCCATCACAGCAGGTCTAAGCACCCATTAGTGGGTCAAATAACCCATCAGCTGGTCCAAGAACCCATCACAGCAGGTCCAA